GTATTCCATATGGCCCGCGACCAGGCTACTAATTGTAAATCTGTCCAGCTGACGCCTCTGCCTTAAAGCACAAATATATATATATATATATATATATATATATATATATATATATATATATATATATATATAATATATATATATATATATATATATATATATATATATATGTGTGTGTGTGTGTGTGTGTGTGTGTGGTGAAAAATAAACATGGCTCCGCCGGGGGAAAAAAGGGAGGGGTGTGGAAAGAGGCCGGGGGGGGGGGTGGAATCACTCTGTGTCTAAATGCTTGTTCGGTTGTCCGTGTTTTTTTCGATATGTTGGGTTGAGTGATTGTAACATTTGCCAGCTCACTTTTTCGTTCATCTACTCCAACAGCCAAAAACTGCTGGGGTTGGTTCTGCAACGTCCTGTAAAGGATACGCGACCAACTAACTCCAGGTTAGCCCTGCAAATTCCGGAACCTCCATTCAGTCATTTCAGCTATATGGCATAGTTATATTGGGGCAGTACAAGACAGTAACTAACTGACGTGTAGTCCAGTGGGGATGTACATATAGTTGTAAAATTGCTATTTCTCGGGATGATGTCGTTCACGTCGCAACGGTTTCTTTTATCACCACAGTTTCTATTATCATTACACAGATTTCCTTTATCCTCGCCCCATTTTCATTCATCATCTCACGGGTTTCCTTTATCATCACTCCAGTTTCCTTTATCATCGCACCAGTTTCATTCATCATCGCACCAGTTTCATTCATCATCGCGCCAGTTTAATTCATCACCACACTGGTTTTATTCATAATCGCACTAGTTTCATTCATCAGCACACCAGTTCAATTCATCAGCACACCAGTTCAATTCATCAGCACACCAGTTCAATTCATCATCACGCCAGTTTTATTCATCATCGCGCCAGTTTCATTCATAATCACGCCAGTTTTATTCATCATCACGCCAGTTTTATTCATCATCGCGCCAGTTTTATTCATCATCACGCCAGTTTTATTCATCATCACGCCAGTTTCATTCATCATCACGCCAGTTTTATTCATCATCGCGCCAGTTTTATTCATCATCGCGCCAGTTTCATTCATCATCACGCCAGTTTCATTCATCATTGCGCCAGTTTCATTCATCATTGCGCCAGTTTCATTCATCATCGCGCCAGTTTCATTCATCATCACGCCAGTTTCATTATCATCACGCCAGTTTCATTATCATCACACCAGTTTCATTATCATCACGCCAGTTTCATTCATCATCACACCAGTTTCATTCATCATCACACCAGTTTCATTATCATCACACCAGTTTCATTATCATCACGCCAGTTTCATTCATTATCACACCAGTTTCATTATCATCACGCCAGTTTATTTCATCACACCAGTTTCATTCATCTTCGCGCCAGCTTCATTCATTATCGCGCCAGTTTCATTCATCATCACGCCAGTTTCATTCATCATCACGCCAGTTTCATTCATCATCACGCCAGTTTCATTCATCATCACACCAGTTTCATTCATCATCGCACCAGTTTCATTCATCATCACGCCAGTTTCATTCATCATCACGCCAGTTTCATTCATCATCACGCCAGTTTCATTCATTATCACGCCAGTTTTATTCATCATCGCGCCAGTTTCATTCATCATCACACCAGTTTCATTCATCATTGCGCCAGTTTCATTCATCATTGCGCCAGTTTCATTATCATCACGCCAGTTTCATTCATCATCACACCAGTTTCATTATCATCACGCCAGTTTATTTCATCACACCAGTTTCATTCATCTTCGCGCCAGCTTCATTCATCATCGCGCCAGTTTCATTCATCATCGCGCCAGTTTCATTCATCATCGCGCCAGTTTCATTCATCATCGCGCCAGTTTCATTTATCATTGCGCCAGTTTCATTCATCATCGCGCCAGTTTCATTCATCATCGCGCCAGTTTTATTCATCATCGCGCCAGTTTCATTCATCATCGCGCCAGTTTCATTCATCATCGCGCCAGTTTCATTCATCATCGCGCCAGTTTCATTATCATCACGCCAGTTTCATTCATCATCACACCAGTTTCATTATCATCACGCCAGTTTATTTCATCACACCAGTTTCATTCATCTTCGCGCCAGCTTCATTCATCATCGCGCCAGTTTCATTCATCATCGCGCCAGTTTCATTCATCATCGCGCCAGTTTCATTCATCATCGCGCCAGTTTCATTCATCATTGCGCCAGTTTCATTCATCATCGCGCCAGTTTCATTCATCATCGCGCCAGTTTCATTCATCATCGCGCCAGTTTTATTCATCATCGCGCCAGTTTCATTCATCATCGCGCCAGTTTCATTCATCATCGCGCCAGTTTCATTCATCATCGCGCCAGTTTCATTTATCATCGCGCCAGTTTTATTTATCATCGCGCCTGTTTCCTTTATCAACGCACCTGGTTTCTTCGTTTCTTTAGAAATTTCTTCGAATCCGTTTAAGCATGAAAAAACCTGGGAGACAAATTCGTTTTTTTTTTTTTTTTTTCTGCTTTCATGGCAACTCAAACCTAAGATTTTGAGACCAGCAGGCAAAAAACTTCAAAAAGGAAACGCATACATTTCCAACTGTAATTTCATGTTATAAAAAAAAAAAAAAAAACGAATACATTTCCAACGGTAATTTCATGTTATACAAAAAAAAAAAAAAAAAAAAGCATAAATTTCGAACGGTAATTTCATGGTAGTAAAAACAAACGCGTAGCTGTTGAAAGGAACAAAATTTTGACATTCTAAATTCTTTGGAATTTAATGAGTGAAGCTATTTAAATAGTGTTCAACCGATCTGTTGACAGTTTGTTTGAATTTGGGTTATGATAGTTTTTAGGCATACGGGCTTATCCATTCAACCATCCTATATGCTATCGAATAATTATGCGTTTATTTCTTTTATTCTTTCTTTCTTTCTTTTTGAACCGTATTTATCTATATTTTCCTCGTGTCGCTGTTGATACACAAGGCATTCGCTAATGATCTCCATTTCTTCACTCTGTCCATTGTAACTCGTGTCATTTTATTAGAGTTGCCGTGCGTCCTAATTTGTGTGTGGATACATCCTCATTTTTGTGTGGACACATCCTCATTTTTGTGTGGACACGTCCTCATTTTTGTGCGGACACATCCTCATTTTTGTGTGGACACATCCTCATTTTTGTGTGGACACATCCTCATTGTTGTGTGGACACATCCTTATTTTTGTGTGGACACATCCTCATTTTTGTGTGGAAACATCCTCATTTTTGTGTGGACACATCCTCATTTTTATGTGGACACATTCTCATTTTTGTGTGGACACATCCTCATTTTTGTGTGGACACATCCTCATTTTTGTGTGGACACATCCTCATTTTTGTGTGGACACATCCTCATTTTTGTGTGGACACATCCTCATTTTTGTGTGGACACATCCTCATTTTTGTGTGGACACATCCTCATTTTTGTGTGGACACATCCTCATTTTTGTGTGGACACGTACTCATTTTTGTGTGGACACATCCTCATTTTTGTGTGGACACATCCTCATTTTTGTGTGGACACATCCTCATTTTTGTGTGGACACGTACTCATTTTTGTGTGGACACATCCTCATTTTTGTGTGGACACGTACTCATTTTTCTGTGGACACATCCTCATTTTTGTGTGGACACATCCTCATTTTTGTGTGGACACATCCTCATTTTTGTGTGGACACATCCTCATTTTTGTGTGGACACGTACTCATTTTTGTGTGGACACATCCTCATTTTTGTGTGGACACGTACTCATTTTTGTGTGGACACATCCTCATTTTTGTGTGGACACATCCTCATTTTTGTGTGGACACATCCTCATTTTTGTGTGGACACGTCCTCATTTTTCTGTGGATACCTCAGTTTTGTGTGGACATGTCCTCATTTTTGTGGGGATACATCCGCATTTTTGTATGGACATATCTTTATTTTTGTGTGGACACGTCCTCATTTCACGTGTGAATCTCGGCGTTTACAAATTGTATTGGACACTCCTGGATTTGTCTGTAATTTTGCAAGAAAGAAACTAATTATCACTATATCACTAATGTGAGCGGTAAAGTGTAATGTGAAGCTGTGCAGATACCAAATTATTTCTTTGCTATTCCCGCACACAATGCTTCAATGGAAAGACTATTTTCTTTTATCTATGCCCAATGACCCAAATGACTGAAGTCGTCTCGGTGTGGATTCAGACAAGTCAATTTTACTTGTAAAATTTAATTTCAAACATTCAGATAATTTTACGGACGTGTGATGCAAAAATAAGTTATTCTAAGTAGATCAGGTCATCAGAGGAAAAAAAAAAAAAAAACACGAAACAATTAAAAGTAGCAGAAGTGACCTCATTTCGAATTTTAAATTCCTTCATTTCACTTGCTGCTGTCCTTCCCTGTGTTTTCCTAAGTGCTCAACTGCACGCTTGGTTGTTTCCTTCATCTGCCGTCTCTCGGAGGGCTGTCCTTGCCGGAGTGTCACGATATGCTCACAAAACAGCAGATTATTAGTAGCATATGCATTCCAGGGAGTCGCCGTGGCGGAGCTGCTAGACGCTCGCCGCGGATCGGAAGGTCGTGGGTTCGCTCCCTGGTGGAGCCGGACTTTGTTCAAAAATGGATTTGGCTCCCAGGTCAACCCAGCCCTGAGTGGGTACCGGGTGCAGTCCCGGGAAGTAAAGGCGGCTGGCGTGATGCTGGCCAGGTCACCCATCTTGTGCCGATTGGTCTATAAAAATATAGGTCTAGCCCTATATGCCCTATACGCTTAAAGGCGTGGAAAAGGGTACTTTACTTTTTTTAACTTATATTCATTCCAGCTAATTTTTTTAGCAACTCTGTGCTACCATTCTGCAAACATGGCCAAACCATCTCTTTCCCCATCAAGCAAGCACGTTGATAACTAAATAACACGAGAACTCAGACACTGGTATAGATATTAGTTTAATTATCGCTACTTTCCCTGAGAGTTTTATCCATCACATCGTTGACAAGATTATCCACTTTGTCAACGGTGAAACACAAGGCCACCAGGCCAGCTATGGTGGGTTCCCAAATGATGTTTCCTGGTTCCACGCCTTTCTCATAGAAAGATCTGTAGGTTATCCTGTGTACACAGGGACACAAAATAATAGGTCTGCGTTAAGAGACTAAGTTCGGCCGTGTAGATTGAAAGTTCAGGAATGGGTTTTATTATTTCACTATGCTCGGGTGGGAGCCCTTGTGGTGAAGCGACTAGACGCTGGCTTGCCGATCCGAACGTCGCGGGTGCAGGTTCTGACGAAGCCGGGATTTTTTTTTTCCAGACGAGACTTTGGCTCCCCAACCAACCGAGCCTTAATCGGGTACCAGCTGAAAGCCGTGGGAAATAAAGGCGACTGGCGTCATATTTACCACATCACCTAATAAACGCCGATTGCTCTATAAAATACAGGTTTAGCCCTATATGCCCTCTTTGCATGAATGCGCGGGAAAGGGTCCTTTACTTTACTTTATGATCCTCGAGTATAAAGTTTGGACTTCTGCGGCGAACGTTTTTTTTTAAATAAGTCTCATACTTTTTAACAGTGGTATGAAAATCGCACCATGAAAGAGATCCGGGCCTCACTACGTGATTTCCCCAAAACGAAATGGGTGTACTGTTTCAACTTTCGTTCTGGAGTTGGCACCAGATCGTGAGTTGTTGTTTTTTTTAAAGAATATTTTGTATACCACCTCGTTCTTATAAATTTTTTTTTTTGGGGGGGGGGGGGGGGGGTTTAAAGGGGTCACTAGACGGCATTTTTTCCAATTTATAACAAAATTATCACTTTTTCAATGTGTTCGTTTTTGTAAAGTTCGGCTTTCGTAGAATAGATTACACACACAATTTATGTCATTTGTAAACAATTTAGCATTGAAAAGTTAATACTAAAGACACTAACCCATGCACTTTTTTCAGATAAAATAAAGTTTAAAAGTAAGTTTTCTCACATCTCTATATTTCTGTTTGTTGTGTGTGTCAAATCCTAAAATCTCAGCTAGTATACAGAGTAGACATATGAAATTTGGTACGAATACCTTATAAGCAATATTATAGGGACTGGTTGATTTAAAAATAGATTGTAGAAAGTTTTTATTTTTAAAGTTTTGATTATTGTCATATGATGCAAGATTTTTTTTATTTTTTCAGTAAACTGTCATTTTAAAATTCTACGAAAAATTTTTAAAAACATGTTTAAAGTAAATAATCTACACCTGTACCTATAAATAGGATTATACGTCATGAAACCATCATCTATTGTTGAATACGTATGTTTGTTTTTAAAATTTTAGGATTTTAAGAGCATATTGTTTTTTACACAAAATAGCGGCTAACGCAATGACAACCATGATTTTTTACACTTAAAGTATACAAATTTAATAACATGTATCCATACAAATCACCATTATAAAATAACTGCTCCAACTCTGTAAATATAAAAAAAAGAATTTTTTGGTGTAGTGACCCCCAGAACACTTCAGCAATCTGAAACTCTGGTAATTATTTGTATTTTCTGGGAGTCGCCGTGGTGCAGTGGCTAGACGCTCGCCTGCGAATTAGAAGGTCGTGAGTTCGGGTCCTGACAATTCTGGACATTTAAAAAAATATGTTTTAATGATCTTGGCTCCCGGGTCAACCCAGCCTTGAGTTGGTACCAGGTGCAGTCCTGGCCAGCTGTCCACATCAGCCCCCAAGTGCCGATTGGTCTATAAAATATAAGTCTTGCCCTACATGCCCAGTAAGCCTGAAGGAGGGCAACATGGTCCTTTGCTTTACTTTTTACTGTATTTTCCTTCCTGCTTTCTTTCTTGTGTGTGTGTGCGCGCGCGCGCGCGTGTGTGTGTGTGTGTGTACGTGCGTGTATGTGAGATTCCCTACTTGAACCTGGTTAAGGCACACAATGTTTGATTTTTACCAAAAATTTATCCAAAGAACTTTTACTTCTTTATATATATTCTTGATTTCTAAAAATGGAGCCGCAGAGCCCATGTGGGGGAACATTATACAAATAATGATAAAACAAAATATAAATAATGCGTGCTGTTGTTGGGTATTGAACTAAGAATCGATATCACAGCATTCAGGACATTCCCATAAGCACTCCCTCCTCATCTTCAGCAGCCAGCCAAGAGTTAAAACTCTGATGCTGCCAGTAGCAATTTTCTTCTATGCCTATCTTGCTTTTCCGTTGAGTGTAGAGAGTCGACCAGATACCCTGATCAGGCGCAGCTGTACACTTCTATCCAGGCGTAAAGTCCCACTGCCCACTAACAAGGAAGTCTCAAAAGGCGATTAATTGCTTTGAAGTCGAGCCGCATCTTTCCGAGAGGCCAGGGGGGAAAAACCCACTCTGTGTAAAATAGGCCAGTTTTGTTAAAATGGAACTATAGGTAAAACTCAAGTTCTGAAAAAAAAAACTAA